AAAAAAAAAAAAAAAAAACTCATAGGCATTATAAACGATATTCTTTTTTATTCACAGATATTGAAGGTAAATATTTTTAAATTAAAAGCTGGACAGGCATTAAATGTGATATTCTGTTTTATTCACTGATATTAAATGTTAATATTTTTAATTAAAAACTCAAAAGACATGATATTTTTTAAGCATTTATTAATTTAAGATCTGAAAATATTAGAAATATTGTTTTATTATTGGTTATTATTTTAAATATATGCATTTAAGGACATTTTTATTGTGAGCATTTCTGAATTAAAATCTGAAAGGACAATTTATCTGAGACATTCTTTTAATTGCATAATGTTTCATATTAACATTTATGAATTAAATACGATCTAAATATTCAAGTTCATATTCTAGTATGAAGAAACAAAAAACATCATGATCACAATTATTTAAAAAAATAAATAAAATAATTCTGAATGTAAAGAAGAAATAAGAAATACAACATTTGTTGTATTGATACAGATTTAATCTGATTTTCTTTTTTTAAGATTTTTCACTTTATTTGCATAGGTATTGTGTAAATATTGCATAATTTAATGAAATCTTATTTTATTCATATTAAAATGAAGAGTAAATGTCATATTCAGTGTCATATTTCTTGCTGAAATTTCTAGTACAGATTTTAAAACCTTAACACAATTTATTTCACGTTTGTATCAAAATTAAACCAGGGAATTTTCAAGCCTAACCAGCTGTTAGGAATAAAGAAGAAAGCTGTGGCCTGAACATTTGCATCATAACGCACTGATAATGTAGCCAGCGAAAGTGTCTCAATCTTCCAACAAATTCACTGTCTTAAATAACATGATGTTTTTCCTTCTCCTCCCAGATAAGTTATTCTCCCTTTTTTTTGGGCTGTGGATAATGACGGCCTGAGACATAAAGCATTTATGTGGGGGAGCTTTTCCTCTCGCCCATGCGCTGTAATTACGCCTTTGAAATAGACATGGGGTGTCACCAAAGCTGAAGATTTGAAAAGTTTTTTTTTTTTTTTCTCTCTCCCGCTCTGCTCTTTCTTTTTTGATTACAGACTGCCTCTATCTAAAATAACAGGCTGGGAAAATAAGAGGCTGCCAAAGCCCATTTCTAGTCTTTTTTTCTGATGGCATGGAAATTGCTATTAATGCCCCAAATGCTCTTTAGGCAACCTGTCTCCCGGACATGAAATGGCCTCCATTTTAGGTGCCCATTATACTTTCATTCCTTTAGCCAATGTGATAATTTGCAATAATTGATTCCTCCATCATCTGTCTTTTGAAAATCATGTTCTGGAAATGACTCGCTATGACTCGTAATATGCAGCATAATGTCATTCCTTTTGACAGCCTCACTTTGTGACTCACTTCTTGCAGAAACGTGTTTATAGTGCGGGAATTCGCTATAGTCGCTCGGCGTTTAGATTTAGGGCTTGATGATAAAACGATAACTGTAATTGTCCTGATGGAATTTTCCGTGTTAAATTTATAAAAGAAGTTCGATATAATGTTTGCTGTGCACGCTCCTTCCTTAGTTACTTTGAATATAAAGCTTTATAATAATGTTCAAATACAGTCCTCAGCATATATAAGTACACCCCTCACAAATCTATCTTTTAAATTCAAAGTTTTTAATAGGAAATTATACAATATTATATTTGTGCATATACATTAGATTAGTCAGTACTGAAGCCAAATCTAGAGCTTATCTAACAGAATATCTCATGATAACTGTCCAAAAACTAGTACTCTAACAGTACATGTGATAATATTAAATACTAATTTATTAAAGAGGAAAAATCAAGAAAAGCAAAAAATCTGAAAAAAAAAAATTAGTTAAAGTTTTCTAGGTTGTAATTTAAAAAAATATGTACCTTTTGCTTGACTTTAATTGTATTATCTTTCAATTTCTAAATATGTTTGATGACAAAAATATTTTTTAATAAATATATATGTTTAATAAAACTGTTTTGTTTAAATGCACCAAAATACATTGTCTGTATGTAAAACAATAAATGTATACAAATATTAATTTTCAAAATGGGGTACTCAATTATGCTAAGCACTGAATAAGCAATAAATGTGATTTTAACCCTCTACCACACACATTGTGATAAATATATATATAAAAAAATTATATATATATATATATATATATATATATATATATATATATATATATATATATATATATATATATATATATATATATATATATATATATATATATAAATTATGGAAACATTTATTTTTTAAGGTACTTTATGAAATGTTGCCATATGGCAACAACATCCAAAATAGGATGTAACTTAGAAATTTCAAATTTAAAACTTTCCTTATGTTTCCTTAATAATTAAATATTTTGTTGTTTAAAATTATTTAATTGGTGTTGTGGTATCATAAGCTTTAACACCGAACTTATAAATGACACCCTACTTTCCAACAACTCATACTCCAACAGCTTTCATTCATTCCATTCTTTTTTGCTTAATGTTAATAAAAACAAATCTAATATTGTAATATCTTGTATGTAACACATTGTAATACATATATATATATATATTTAATGTAGCTACTAGCTAACTATGTTTATATATATATATATTATACTATATACTATACTACACCTGTCTTATCAGCATCTGGGATAACTTACCTTAACTGATAATGGAAGGATGATCACACACACATGGTTAACTTTAGACTTTATAACGTTATAAATAATCTCTTCAAAGAATAAAGCGAAAGCAATAGGTGCTGCTTACAAAAAGAAAAATCTGGAACTCTTGCAAGCAGCAGGACTGTGGGTGCATGTTCAACACTTTTTTTTTTTTTGTCTAGTCTATTTGAAAGAGAACCAAGCACATCAGTTGTGTTTCAAGGCCCAGTCAATAGTTGCTTCACTCAAGGAAACGGGAGCAGGCACGCGTTTTAAACAGTCGTTTACATCACCTCAGCTGTTAGCGCGAATGATTATTTCCTCATTCGGTATTCACCTGCTTAATAATTTTTTTTTTAGGCAAACGCAATTATTTTTTGTCAGTTTTGTTGCTCCTCAATTCTAAGATCGCCTTTGCATCCATATTGGACCATCCTTATTGTCTAACCTTTTTTTAAGAATTATTATCTGGGAAAATTATTTTCAACCAGCCAAAGTGGCTAGTGGGCGTGTCTGTTGAACCCGCCATCACTAAAATCTACCCGCAAAAGGTGGGTTGGCAGGTGTTAATGCCAAGCCCTCGTTGTTAGGATATGTGGAGGCTTATATCGTGATATGAGTTTTTTGTCATGTCGCCCCACCTTTAAACTAAAGAATAATTTTGTCTGTTATAAGGTCAAAGTGTCAGATTTTGCTATTTTAACTCCAAAATTAATGGTTTATCTTGGACAACAATAATGTTAACAAAAAATATTGTACGTAAATGTATATTACTGGCTGTCCTGTGCATAAAAAAATTAAAATAAATAAAATAAAATAAAGAAAACAGTTCAACAGCTTATGCCTTCTTTGCCTATATACCTAGTAGTGCCAATACCATGATCTGTCATTTATTTAGCTATATTTGAAAACAGAGTAACACAAAAACTTCTGTTCTTCTATTGGTCAACATCACAGAAGTATGAATAGTAACACTAGCTGGGTTTACATCTTAATGTGAAGCAAATCTTTTAAAAAAAAGAAAAAAAAAGAGAAAAAATAGAATTGTAAATAAGTTGCATTTTCATCAAGTTCTTAGAGTGGCTGACTTTAGTATTGGTAACCTAGCAACCAACAGTAAACAAGGCAATGTCACAGTTATGTTTACTACATCATAGCAAAGTTCCTTTAAGGCAAGTCATTTCACTTGGCGGCCATCTTTGAAATGTCTCTCTGGCATTCTATTTGAATGGGGAAATATTAAATTCTCCAAAATGACTTGCCAAGCTTACGATTACATTTCATATTACGAATAACCAATGACTGCGTTATTCTCCATATAGCAATCACTGATTGGATTCTGTAATAAAAAGGCGGTGCTTCATTCGCCATATTGACAGTCACACTTTTCCCATTCTAAAGTATACGAGAGACATGTCTTGTGTATTCTATAGTCTTTGATCATAGTTTATTTGGTAAAGAAATTTCCGTCTTCCACTTTTCACACTAACCTACATGCACTTTCAAAACCACCAAGCCACCAAAAGCTAGCATAAAAATATTTTTGGGGGTGGCAAATTAAGGGACTTTAATCTGATACGTCATCACTCGTTTCTCATGTAATGGAAACCCAGCTACTGATGTTTATGATAGCAGTAAAAAAAACATATTCTAACACTTAAAATGAAGGTTTAACTTGCAAAAATGCCACCAGTAGGTGGCAACACTTGCTCAAGAGATTTATTTAAAAAAGCTTATCCGCTAATGGAACAATCTACATTTTTATATAAGAAAGAGTATTTTATTCAAATCAATTTTATTAATTCATTCTGATAATTTATTGAATTTATGAAAATGCAACAGTTAATGCTTGTATTACAACCTCTAGTAAAGGACATTAGTCTGTTTGGTTATCCATTCAGAATAATAAGAGAATAGTGATCTTTGTTTTAAAAACAGCAAAAAGTGTGTTTTTCAGTTTATCCAGAATCAGGCAGCAATTATCAACTTGATTATACAAAATGAAAATTAATTTTTTTATTTTTTTTAAGCTTGTATATTTTGAACATTTGGACTTCACTCAGAAACAAAAATATGAATCTTTGAATGCCTTGAAATGAATTAATGAATTAAATTAAATTGAAGGGTTTTTTTTTTTTTTTTTTGCCAATTATCAAAATTGACTGGAATGTAAAATATAATAATGATATTTTTTTTACATCGTTTTGATACATCGTTCAGCACATTTAGATTATATGACAGAGTTTGCAGCTAATCACCTGAAGTGTTGTTTTTTGAAAAAAAATGCACATTTCCTAAACTTTTTTTTTTTTCTCTCACAAAAGGCAAACGGCGGCTGGCAGGATGCCCCGACACCGTCCTCAGTGACCTCGCCCACAGAAGGACCCGGGAGCGTCCATTCTGACACCTCCAACTGATCCGCTTCATTCATCTTCACCATCTTCAGACTGCTCCACTCCACATCAACACATCCGCAGATCTGGATTACTCTCCATCATGGTCACACACAATCATGCCGTACCACCGTGGAACATTTGGAATACTTTACAAGATTTTAGAAAACAATTATGAATAAAAAAAAAGACAAAAAACAACAACAAAAAAAGATGTGTTTGTACAGTTTTCACAGTGTATTTTAGGTGGCACAGGGCGACTAACTAACCTGTGACTGTTTCAGTCTTATTGAGGCTATTGTTAATGATGGAACAACCAGTCGTCGTGTTTCAATTTAAATGCTTCATTCTACCTCTCAGCAAAAAAAAAAAAAAAAAAAAAAAGGAAAAGAACAATTTTGTTTTCTAAAAAAAAAAAATGTTAATAACAGATACCACTTGATATAGTGCTTGAGAGGAAGCTCTCCTTATTGGTACAGTCAAATAATAATGTCTCTTTTATTCATTCATTGTGATATCTTGACTTTTTTGTTTCTTTGTTTGTTGTTTCCCTCATTTTATTTGTCAGAAAGCTCTGATTTTCTGAATTTCACAGTTTGTGCCAGACAAAGCTAACCTTTATTATACATGTTTGTATAAAACACTCATTTGGAAGCTGATTATTATGTATTTCCTCCATTAGATAAAGGTACAACTTCACTTTTATCATAGAGAGCAGTCCAAACAACTTCTGTCATAGATTTCATTTGGACTCATTTCCTCACTCTGTTTGTTTTTGAGGACACTGTCTGCGAGTCGATGAAAATATAACTGATTCCGGAAATGGCGGAAGCATCAAGTCATTACGGCCCATAATGACATTTCCTCCCCGCTTTCACTTCAGATTGCTTTTAAACGCTCCCTTAGTCCCTTTCCCCAGCAAGTGAAGGAATTTAACATAAAGAGCGAGATATTAGTTTGATTTATACAAACGGTACCCCAAATCATAAACAAAACAAGCACTAATGCTCTTTATTTTTTGAAATTTGTTCCCTTTTTAAAAGTGTTATTCTTTATCATTATTTTTTTATTATTATTAGCAAAAGTCTGCATCGGTATGCCATGTTCTAGCAAATGCTAATCTGAGGTATTGTTGTTTATCCTGTAATTTGAAAACCAACTGTGAGTGTACAGTTTTTGAAACAATAATGTACATTTAATATCATCAGAGTGTTGCTGGTGAGCAAAATCCTTTTGTGTAAATGCTTTAAAAGAATATGAAATATCATTCTCATCGCTGTTCCAACATAATGAGCTTTTCTCAGTTTTATATAGCCGAAATGCAGGGGGCATTTACACGACACCTCTTTCTACTTATTTTGCATTTTGTTTACAGTCACAGGTTTTAAAAATATTGCTTTTTCTGTCTTTATGTCAGGGGTGTCAAACGCAGCCCTGCACAGTTTACCCTGCTCCAACACACTAACCTGTAGGTTTCAAATAAGCCTCAATGACTCAAATAGTTTGATCAGGTGTGTTTAATTAGGGTTGGAGCTAAATCGTGTAGAGCTGCGGCCCTCCAGGAACCGAGTTTGACACCTGTGCTTTATGTAAACTAAAAAAGGTAACATAATATAAGTTGCGTCCCAAATCGCATACTTATGCACTATTCTACTCCATTTTGTAGAATAAATAGTGTCAGTAGTGCTGCGTTCACACTGAAAACTCTAAAACTAAGAAGTGCACTTTAATTACCCAGATGATGCACTTATTCAACCGGTAAAATGAAGTAAAATAAAGTTTTCACGCACTCAATGACTGCAGTTTTGCTCATGTAGTGGAAGGGGCGGAGCTATCGGGCACACATGTTGGATTACTTTATTTATTTTTATATTGTGAAAGCAAAATTCTCCTATGAGAGTGATTACAGTGCCTGCTGATGAAGAATGCTGTACTACTCACAGCAGGTATTATTTGGTACTTTGATCATTTATTTCACTAATTTGACAGTCAAACGTCATCAGGGAAATGGGTCAAATTTCCGCTTAGTAAAAAACAAAAACATCAGTGTTCCATTTGGGACAACCCTATAAATATATTCTGTGCTGTTGAGTGTGTACATGCATAAGTACATAGTGCATCAGTGCATAGTGTGCCATTTGGGATGCAGCTATAGTCGTTTTTACTGTTTTTGCAATGTGAACGGGATAGTTTTGAAAACGTCATCTGTATTTAAAGTTTTTCAAAAACATAAAGAGAAAACTTTATTTTGATGGTCTGTTTGTTGAGTTTAAGCTACATTGCATCTAGATGTCAACCTATTCTTATTTGATTATAAGTAGACTGTTAGGTTGAGGTTAAGGTTGGGGTTAGGGTCTGGGCCGGAGCAAGCTGAACTGCCGCTCTAGGCAAAGGACGGTCTGCCACCCTAGACGCAGATATAACTGAGATATAACTGAGGGCACAAGAGGTGGGGGTAGTGTCGGGGACGCCGCCCTCTCTATTCTGCCGCCCTAGACATGGTAAGGGCGCAGGTGGTGAGGGTAGTGTCGCGAATGGCACCCTAGACGCAGATATAACTGAGATATAACTGAGGGCGCGAGAGGTGAGGGTAGTGTCGGGGATGCCGCCCTCTCTGTTCTGCTGCCTCTATGGATGTGCTGGCCCTGGTTAGGGTTAGTGTAAGTTGAAATGTACTTGCAAAGTTTCTTAACGTCAGTTAAAGTCGGTTTAGCAGCAGTGTCAACAGATATTAAGCGTACAATCTACTAATGCTTAAATGGACCATCGAAATAAAAAAAAAATTAATTGTTACCAAACTTTTGTTGTACATCAATATCATGTGAACACATCTAAATTGAAACCTTTGAAAACAATAACATTATTAGCTCCATGTAAACTACAAAAAAATTTATGATAAAAGTAACTTCGGGATGTGTTTTTGAAAATGGTAAGATGAAGGTATTAATTTTTCTGTTATGTGAACTTACTCAAACAGAAATGGTTAGAAATCTTTAAAGTGCTACACAGATTGTAGGGAATCTGTTTTTTTTTTTGTTTTTTTTTGGAAAGATTTTCGATAACTTTGGAAATTGTTTGCTAAATTTTCACTATTTATTTTACAAAAATACAGAAGAATCCTTTTTTAGCATCTCATAAAAACGACATTGTTATCATTATCGAAAACTACAAAAATATGATTATGTACAACAGTGATGTCATGCACTTGTGTGTTCAGTATACACTCATGAGCCAGAAGCTAACAATCAACAACAGTGGACTACAGGACTGTATGTGTGCAGATTCATAGTGTTTCCTCACAAAGTTTTCTCAGCCAACTACTAAATGCAGTTTTTTTTTATTTATTTTTTTATTCATGTTAATCAATGTTGTCACCTGTTTTAACTCACAGATGATGTGTAAATGTATCCAAACTGCAAAGACCACTGGCATCATTTCCATATACACCACAAAAAAAAAAAAAAAAACATGAATTTGTAAAAATACAAAAGTCACATGTACTACATTTTAAGTCCATAGGGATAGGCTTGTACAACCAGGGTGGACAACAGGATTGTGTGTGTGTAGATGTGTAGTTTTTCTTTACAATCTGACATCATGCCACCTGCTGGCCTGGCATACAGAACACAACACTTTTAAAGTCAGATCCCAGCAGACACAAAACATCATAAGACGTTAATATTAGGTTAGATTTAGGTCGCCAGCATCAAAAGACAATTTTGACATCCATTAATGATGTGAAATGACGTTGATATTTGATTGATGCCTTAGAAAGTGGCCAAAATCCAACGTCATATTGGTCAAATACTGGCATTTATTCTACAGGTATGGCAACCAAAATCCAACGTCTATATACGTCCTAGTGGTAACGTCCACACAACCTCAAGCTTTAGCATCATTAAACGTTGATATATGTTTGGTTTTAGGTTGTGTTGGAAAGTAACCAAAATGCAATATCTATTTCACAGGTTCTGACGTCAACCCGATTTTCATTTCCAAACAAAATGCAACATCCTATGACATTGGGGTAGAACGTCAGTCTGATGTCATGTTGACGTTCTGTGCCTGCCGGGGTCAGTGTGAATAGGATTGTTTTGACAGCATTGTCTTCTGTACACAAAACTATTTCTGCACATCGTTGTTGTGCAAACGTGCCCTCAGAAACGCAACACACGGGCATGTTTACTCCAGTAATTTCTTAGACCTACTTATATTATTAATGCCACCGTTTCCATTGTGAAATCATGACAGATGAAGCTCTTTTGCCTAATTGAAGAAAATTATCTTGAAAAATCCAATAGTTAACTAATTTTTGTTGAAAATATATCCCTGTCCGTCAGGGCTCCAGCTAATGAAGTTTGTTTTGCAGTACATCGAATCAGAATCCATTTAAATGGGGGAAGTCATTAAGTTAATACGATTTGAACATTTCGACGGTCACTCTTAGCTGTGTTAATGCAGGTAAAGCATCCCCGAACACAGAAATCCTGCTTCTGAACAAGTTTTAAAAGGTGATTCCAGTCACCCGTCTGTGTTCTAATGTATATTTATTGTTAATATGACATTGCTTGTTATATCATCACTGCCCCCTGTTTATTTATTCTCGCTAAAACACTCGTTCTACCAAAAACATCTTTCCAAACAATTGCCAAAAAAGGAAGAAGCTCCGCCTCTTTGATGGATTTTGGGAGGGAAACGTTTGGGAACGTTCCATCGCTGTTCTCTAAAACCAAAAATGTACAAACTGAAAGTAGCTTATGTGTGTATAAGAAACAGAAGTATGTGACGGATATTTCACTGCCTGTGTCTTCAATAATGTCCTTCATTTCTTGAGTTTCCTTTTGTTTATCAAGATGCCACTTTCGTTTTGTGATAGTTTGAAAGTAATCATGCTAAAATGAAAATCAAACATGCATCATCTGTTATTTGAACGACACGCACTCTAGTTTGCTGATGGTTGCCATTGTGAAAATGTATATATATTTTGTGAAATAGACTTGACCGCACCTGCTATAAATGCATTATTAGACTTCACGATTATGTACCATATGAAGCATTGAATTCCAGACTATTCTGTTTGGGTTCTCCCTCCCCACAATTTCCACCAACTTTGTCTCAAAATTGACATGATTATCATCAATAAATGTTGTATTGCTCACTGAACAGTATTGATACACATCGGTATGTATTTTTGTGAGATTTCTCTGTTTTGTTATTATTTTTTATAAAAGGTTTTACAGGGTGTAAGGCTTTTTTTGTTCTCTAATTCATGTTTGGGGACCATTTTAAGACAGAAAATATGGGTGGAGTGTGTCACGATAGTTAATTCAGTTCACAGTGAGATTTTGCACACTTCAGGTTTAATATCACACAATTACTCAGCCTGAGATTTTAAGTTCAGCCCTCAACAAATTATTTTATTTTACTTTGTTGCATGTGTTTTGTTTATAATAAAATACTGCAGTGTTTTGAGTAAATCATGATTTTTTTTCCCTTTGTTTACAAATACAGTATATACTGGTAAAAATGCTCTAAATTAACAGTAATATTGTAGAAATAAAAAATGAAATCCAAGTTTGCGTAACTTAAATTTTCACACCATAAACTATTTTGGTCACACTTTATTTTGATGGTCTGTTTGTTGAATTTAAGTTACATCTACATGCCAACTAATTCTCATTAGATTATAGGTAGACAATTAGGTTGGGGTTATGGTTAGTGTAAGTTGACAAGTACTTACAAAGTTTCTTATAGTCAATTAAATGTTTGTTTTTTAAGTACGGTCTACTTATTAAAAACAGTCTACTAACTAAAATGGACCATCAAAATAAAGTGTTTCCATTATTTTTACAGTTTTTATGATTGTTTTGCCACACATTTCAGAACCCTGATGTCAGTTTTCAGAACTGTATACACAAAACTCTAAACAGTCTTCTTTTTTTAGAGAAGCCTTGCATTTGCAGGATCATCAATTCACATAAATCTTTTGTAATGCAAATACTACAGGAAAAGAATAATAATAATAATAATAACAATAATAATAATAATATTAACAACAATAATAATAATAATAAACAATTATTAACAATTATTAACAATCTTTACATACTCACTGATGTGTAACTATATAATACAACTTTCAGTATTGTTTATACATAAGTGTAGAGGAAATAGTACAGACGTCATTAAACTCAACGTTAGTAAAAAAATTAAAAAAAGAAACAAAATAGTTTAAAGTGTTTCTCACTGCACGTCCCCAATA